AACCGCTGACCTGCTGATCTAGCAGTAGCCTGCAGTGCTGCATTTAACCACTGCGCCACCTTGGCTCTATCACAACAGGCACAACAGGGTGTATCTTAACACAACTTGAATCCAAAATGCACACTATCACTGTCAAAAGTACTGTGACTTGACACTATAGATATAATTCAGTCCTTTTCATTTCAGTGGCCTAGGCGTAGTCATGCTGGAACACACACGGACACGGACACACACACAGATACTGAGGGGTGTTAGGGGTGTCTTACCCTCATAGTATTTGTTTCCAGAGAGTAAGTCACTGTGTACCAAGTTTGGTTGAAACTGCTCAAGGCATTCCAGAATTATGATGGAACACACACACACACAGCCCGTTTATTTATTTTTACACACACCCACACACACTCAACTATCTCTCTATTACAGAATTATAGTCGGAAACTGGGATTATACTATAACTTTGGAAATTGATATCTATTTGCATGTTGTTCTACTTAATTAAAAACCTTGAAAAATAAATGTACAGCAGAGTTCTCTGCAGTGGCTTATTTGCTTTCATTCCACCTCTCATGTAGAAGAACCACACTCATCATTTTAACAAGGCCTTTTAAACATTTCACACTTTTCTACTTTTTTTGATGTTTTACTCTTTCCTTTACTACAGGTTTAACCACTTCCTTGTTTAAAAACTGACCTAAGACCTGTGTTAATTCATAGACTGCAAGAAATAAGCGTCAATCTAGGCATCATCACAATGATTTTGATTACGTGCCATCAAATCAGTGTTGCCTCTTAATGACAGCATGAACAGAAGTTCTCCAGGGTGAGATTATAATAGTTTGTCCTTAACTGCATAATAAAGAAGCTGGAATCTAACTAAAAAAAAACAAAGGAAAACTGGGAGTACAGAGTGCTATCCCCTCATATCACACTTCCCTGTACACTTACATTCCAAGCATTTTTAACTCTTTGTGATACTTCAAAATATCCACTGAGGAACAAATCAATATTTATGGGAAAATAAGTGTCATAAATCAGCACTCTGGATTTATATGACCCTATGCTGAAGTCAGATTGAACTCCTTTTTAAATTTCAAATGGGAAACAAATCATCTGGCCTTGTTCTTTTCTTTTGACAAGCTTTTCAGCACACAAAAGACTGTTAATAAAATAAAATTGGTCCTAAACTTTTTAGGCCAGAGTGCCTTGCCTCAGAGGAAGCTGTTTATTCCTTAAGGACTCCTGTCTTTCTCAAGTTACAACTCCAGTTCTGTAAAGAAGCTCAACTACCTTTTATATGATCTGACTGGGCAGGGAGTGAAACAAGTGTTGGACTATCAGGGAATTAGAAAAACAAAAACAAATCATCAATTGATTCAGTACAAACAAGCATATCTGCCTAATTTTGGAATAACTGACATTATTTTTGATGCAGTTTTGATCTGGGAAAAGGTCAACATGGTTTATAAATGTGCCAGAAAAATACTTTGTTATTTTTAGAAATGATTATGTTTACAGCAAAATGGAGAGGGGTCACCAGGGGTGTGTTTCTTCTGTGTTTAATAACATGGAGGTAGGGAGTATAGATTCTCAGGCAGCCCAATTTTAAAATATTGAATGAGAAAGAATGCAGAAAGAGATCAAGATACGAAGTATGGGACAGTTAACAATTTATACAAAGTTCTGCTTGAACTAAAGTGATCAGGTTTATAGGCAGAAGCATAGCAATATAAAGCTTAAACAGGGAGGAGTAAGATTCAAAATGTATATTCCTTCAAAAAGGCCCAGGCCTGTGCAAGCAACAATTTTTTTTTTCTGGAAGCCTTGCCTATTAGTCTTTTATTTTTATTTTTTTTTTAAAAGAGAATACTATAATGAATTAGGAGTGGCAGAGGATGAGCAGCATAAGGCTCCTTAGGGTATAGGCTTCTTCTTAAAGATAATTATGATTCAACTTTTATATTTAGAAAAAGCAACTATTACAAATATCCTGGAGGTCTCCCATGTGTTGTCAACTAAACCAATCAAATCATTTAACATTCCCCTTAAATTATCATCATTATCTGGGTGAGATACAGACAAAACTTTCACATCAAAGCACTCTAAAATACTTTTTTCCAGCTAGGGAATCCCTACCTTAAGGCAGTTTTTACTACTATTAAACTCTCCAAAATATTGCCATCAGTAAACTTTTATTTATTTAAATATGCAAATAGTCACCCATCTTATGCCAAACTCTGGGTGGCTCACAACCCCAAAATAAAACAATATCTATCCACAATAATAATAATAAAACCTAGAATCTTCCATCATACATATCCTGGTAAGGATGATAGAATTTGCAGCCCAGAACATCAGCTATTTAGGATAAAGTTGGTAGGTCATGGATCTGTCTGAAGTGCAACCAATTAAAAAGAAACACTTCTAGAAAAGATGAATTAAATCTCTAAAATAGCATTAGTGTGATGCCTAATATTCAGAATTCAGAGATAGGCACTCAAAAGTTCAGTGAAATTGCGTAAGTATCAAAAGTCAACCCTTTTCTCTGATTTTGTTAACCAGAATCAAGCCTCTTAGCCAGGGGCTTGTTTGAATCAGAGTTTCTAAGAAGAGATTGAACAACCGTTTGTCTGAAATGGTACACAGGGCTTCCTGCCTGAGCATGGGGTTGGACTAGAAGACCTCCAAGGTCCCCTTCTAACTGTTATCCTGGGGGAATGGGACGGTAACCCAATTCATATTTAAAGCTAAGCCATAAAAGATGAATTAGACAATGTACAACTTCACACCTTCTCTAAACTGTACACAAACATTTTTTTTTAAATTTAGAGCGAGGCACTAACTCAGCCAGCCTTGTTGCCATTTCTATGTGCTTTTCCAAAACTCTTGTGGGCATCCGAGGGAGGTGCACTTGTTGAATGTCTGCCCACTTTAAAAGCCTGCGGGGGAGGGGAAAAGAATGACCACCGCAGACTCCCTCCCCCACCCACCCCACCGTTTTGCTTAAGAGCCCCCATTTATGACTTATTCTCCCATCATCACGAAAGCGGCTTCCGACGTTGCCAAATATAGCAAGGAAAACGTCAGTAGACTTATAGCCCGAGGGCATTTTACAGGTAAGGCAGACGCGGGTCCCAGGCGAAGCGGGCTGAGGTTCCAGCGATGCAACCATGCGTGGGTGGCCGAAATGTCAAAGTGGAGCGAGGCGAGACTCCGGTTTCCCGGGCTTGGGCAATTCGCGCTCCTCGCCCTTGAAAAGCGGAGACCTGCCGGCGCAGTGGGGGGAAGGGCCGAGGAGAAAGCCAACAAAGGCCAACTCTCTCCCCAGCAGCCGCTCGGCGTCTCCGGCGGGCCGGGGCTAGCGGCGGCGCGGCGAGCCCGGGAAGGACGCCCTCGCGCCCCCCTGCCGAGCCGAGCCGAGCCGGGCTCAGGCGGCGCTCTCCCTCTTTCTCGCCCGCTTCCCCATCCGGTCTCCCAGCCTGCACTCACTTGTCGAGCCAAAAGGTCCAAGGCGAGTGGAGCGGGATCCCGCCGGCCTCGGCTTCCAGGCCTCGCAGGTGCTGAGGGTCGAGGGCGACGTCGGCGTCCGCCTCGTCTTCCTGCTGCTGGGGCGCCGGGCACGGGGGTTCAGGCGGGCCCGGCTGCCGCTCGGGGGGGCTGAGCGCCATTGCCCTGCGCTTCCTTCGGCCCTGGCTGAGTCAGCGCCGCCTCGCTCGGCGAAAGCCCGCCTCGCTGCACCACCGGCCGGTGGACACCAGGGGGCCCTCTTTATCTTACCAAAAGTGCCGGTGCTTGGATCAGCCGGTGCTTGGATCAGCCCACCGGCATTTGCGCATATGCGTGCGGCTCGTCTCCCTCTTGGACGCTGTGCAAGGCTTCGCTTGGCATGCTGGTGTCTTGCAATGCGGACGCTCTGAAATGCAACCCAAGCAAGAAGAGATGGAGGGGAGGGGGAGTGACGATGGATAGGTTAAGAGGTTCTCAGTCATCCAGGTCATGGTTGTCCCAAAGGTATTTTTTTTCAAGAGGCAACTGGGCTATCTGGTTTTTCTTTGAAGACGTTTCACTTCCCACCCATGAGAACTGAAACGTCTTCAAAGAAAAACCAGAAAGTCCAGTTGGCTCTTGAAAAAAAAAAAGCACCTTTGGGATATATAAGGGTTGCACGTGAATTTGCTAAGGTGCAATTCGGTTCGCCTGTTTATTTCCGTGAATGCAGGGTTGTCGATCAAGGGAGCATAAATCCGAACCATCACTAGGTGGCAGCAGCTTTCAAGCGTTTTTTTATACCTGGTGGCCCTAGTAAATTCGACTAAGGCCCCTCTTCAAGACGAGACCTTCCAAATGGTGTCGCAGTGGTGAGTCCCCAAATGGAGGCCAGTGTTTTGGAGTTGCAATTGGAATACAACTGGAGGTCATTAGATTGGGAAAGCAAACATTGGATTTATCTTTAAGTTTAAAAAAAGGTAGCTTAGTATTTGTTTCAGTTCAGTGAGAATTATGAAACATAATTACTGTACTTTAACTATCTAAAAAAACTCAAATACAAGGATAAATTCAAACCTATGTATGCTTAACCTTTTGGTTCAGCCTCTCTTCGTCTTACTTCAGTTTTTATTCCTCTGAATCGCCAGCATGGTACAAGGATTCACTAAACATATGGAATGCTTTAAATACTGGAATCTTCAAATTTTAAGGTACTCCCAAGTATCCTGGTGTAGGCATTCTTATGACAGAAATAACAATGATTGATTGACACTGGCTAACAACTGGAACTGAACAGGTCTTAACAGTCCCTGTTAAATCCCCCTGGCCTGCTCAGAAATACTCCCTAAAGCAGCTCACTCTGCCTCTGAAGATGCCATCCACAACTGCCAGCAATACACATGACACCAGAAAAATAAACCATGATCATTCAGCTCATAAACATATTTGAATATTCCCGATTACGCAACACATCTTGCTGAATTCACCGATTACACCATATTAGTATTCCTGTGTTCTGTAACAATGAAAGATGCTGTTATCTGCAATAAAGCTTTAGTATCAAAAAATATGAGGTCAGGCAAAGCTCAAGCAGTTTAATATTTAGGAATTCTCCCTAGAGAGCTATGATTTGGACATAATCTGCTGGAAGGTTTTTGCAGTTCTTTTCTCACATAGGGCTGTGCTACAGGGATGGTTGTTTACAGATAAACTCCCATACTGTTCAGGTATAGGAAAATGAGCGTAATTATTGGTATATGACACCAGAGAAATTGTCTGAAATATATAAAGGCACTTCAAATGTTTTGGAAATGTGAACAACAAGAAGGATCATTTTATCATGCTTGGCAGATGTGCAAAAAAGCTAGAAGAATTTTGGATTCGGATGCATTCAAAGGATTTGAAAGAATCTTCCTCTTGAGACTAATGAGACAAGCAGTTGGAAAAATGTCATGGAACATTGTTTTTGTGTAAAATAACCACAGCAAGACTGTAGTATGCACAAAGATGGAAAGATTTGGCAATACTTACAAGAGCAAAATGACTGATGAAAATGATAGAAATTGCTGAGATGGCCAAATTGACTTGTTTGATTAGGCAAAAGTCAATATCTACATTTATTACTGCCTGGTAACCCCTTATTGATTTTTTTTTGTACAAAACAGAAAAAAAAGTTATGATTTATGATTTTGACAATTAGATAGGATTGATTAGAGAAAGAAAAGAGTCTTGATCTAATTTTAGAAGAAGAGGTAAATTTATACTTGTACTTATACAATAGGAAGCCTCTTTGTATCTTTTTTCTTTCTTGTGCTCTTAGCTTTTCCTTTGATTTCTTTTTCTTTCTTTCTTGTTCTATATTCATTTTTATTAGTTTTTAATCTTTGTTTTTAAAACATGTATATTTTTGAGTTAAAACTTAAATGCAGGTTGTTCTCAACTTATGATCGGTTTCTTATTGACCTTTTGAAGTTATGAATTACCTCTCTGGCAGTATTTATGACTGGATTTGAAGTTCCAATCCCCCACTATTGCATGACTGCCCTTCGGGCTTTCAGCAAGCAAGCCACTTTTCTGGCTGTATGCAGCACAATAGCTGTGGTGGAGCAGTGGTTAGAATGCAGTATTGCAGGCTAATTCTGCTGACTGTCAGGAGTTCAATCCTCAATGTTGACTCAGCCTTCCATCCTTCCAAGGTTAGGTAAAATGAGGACCCAGATTGTTGGGGGCAATATGCTGACTCTGTAAACAGTTTAGAGAGGGCTGTAAAGCACTATGAAGCAGTATATAAGTCTAAGTGCTATTGCTAGAACCGTGGTAAAGTGTAGCAACTACAGGCTACTTCTGCTGATCACCAGGCTGCCAGCAGTTTGGCAGATCAAATCTCACCAGGCTCAAGGTTGACTCAGACTTCCATCCTTCCAAGGTTGGTAAAAGGAGGCCCCAGATTGTTGGGGGAAATAAGCTGACTCTGTGAACCGCTTAGAGAGGGCTGTAAAGCACTGTGAAGTGGCATATAAGTCTAAGTGCTATTGCTAGAACCGTGGTAAAGTGTAGCAACTACAGGCTACTTCTGCTGATCACCAGGCTGCCAGCAGTTTGGCAGATCAAATCTCACCAGGCTCAAGGTTGACTCAGACTTCCATCCTTCCAAGGTTGGTAAAAGGAGGCCCCAGATTGTTGGGGGAAATAAGCTGACTCTGTGAACCGCTTAGAGAGGGCTGTAAAGCACTGTGAAGTGGCATATAAGTCTAAGTGCTATTGCTATATATGTCTAAGTGCTATTGCTATCCTACAGTGCATTTTACAATGGTTTTGCTGAAAACTGGCATTTACTTCTAGGTTTTGGCAATACTTGACCATAAACCATTGGTTTGCTTAACAACTGCAGTAGCTGCTTTATGACTATTGTATTTGCTTAATGACTGCTGCAAAAAAAAGTTGTAAAATCAGGTTGATCATGGGTGACCTGTTTTACGACCATTGTAAACCACAAATGTGGGATGGGGAGATTCCTTTACTGAACCCGAGGACTATGTTTTTCTGTGGGTGTATGTGCATTATGAGGTTCGTTCTCTGATCCTGTTGGTTGGTTTCTGAACATTTCATTACCAGGCTAGGTAACATCTTCAGCAGAATTTAGGGAATGTTAATGTCGGTATTCCTCTGCTTATAAGGGCTTTGTGGTCAGTAGGTCTCATGGTGGGAGAATCACGTCAGATAAGAGTCTTGGTGCATATTATATTTACAACAAACTGGGAGCAATTCAAAGCTTATGGAAGGATGAGAAGAACAATGAACAATAGTACTGTTGCTATGAAAACATCCTAAAAGGGGCGGCAGATGGTGGAATGGATTGAAGCATCTGCAACCTTCCAGATGTGCTCCCACATTGGCTGGGGATCTGCAGCATCACTACCTATTTTGGGAATACATTATGATATTGTTATCTGATGGCTATGAAATTAGCATAATTAACTGTGAATGTAGCATATTAGAATAGCTATTAGCTTGCATCTATTAGAAGCAAGTTTATTCTTCGGTAATTGGAATTTAATTTTATAATTGATTTCAGAATGGAAACATAGCTATTCTGTCTTATATTGATTTGCCCTTGCATTCTGTACCTCCCCCTTAAACAGAAATACAGAAAACATTTTACATGTTTTGAATACTGAAATTAACTAAGGAATTTTAAGGCATAGCTCTGTCTGTCTGTCTGCCTGCGTACCTACCTACCTACCTACCTATTTTCCAGATTGTCACTGGTCTGTGTTCTGGCTTTGAATTAAGATCTCGTAACTTTGTCACATATGCCTTATCACTGTGAAGAGGGTTCACATTCAATCTGTCTGCATTCATTATTTATGTTCATATGATGCAACAAAGCACTACTCATACATGTTTTAGCTTGGTTTAATGTATTATCCATATCTTATGTAAATGCAGAGAACTGGACTAATTCTATAAAACAGTAAGTATAGCCAGGAAAAGCTAACGATAGTATCTTCATCAGTCAGGGAAAAAGAATTATATAATGGAGAAACAGTAGGAGAGGACAAATATTTGGTAAGTCCTGAGTTACTTTCTTATCAATTTGACATTTGTTTGAAGATTTATTACAATACTTGGTAAATGGCAGTATTTAGCCAATACTGGATGAGGCTTCATTATACTTAGATGAGTGACAACATGGAAATACTAGGGTTAATAGATCTTTTTAAAAAAACTGCAGAAGACAATGGCAAACCAAAAATATTTGTGCATGCCCATGAAGTGATCAGAACTTGGTTCAGACTGGAAGGAAGCCTTATCTTTACCTAGCTAAATTTGGCTGATCTTGGAAAAGTAACTATATAAACATGTCCATGAAGTCACCAGGAATCAAATTCAATTGAGTTTTTTCAATTTACAATACAACATTGGGAGGAAAATAAGATAAAATTTAACAATGTAATAGTAAATTTAAAACAATTAAAATGAATAATACAGCTTAATAATTGTATCTTTCTAACTCTTGCCATCCAGAGTCACAATGTTTGTGTTAAGTTATAAATCCAGTTAATTAATAAATAAATGTAGCAGAACTTAAAATATATGAGACCACCAAAATTTATGCTTGTGTTTTTCAGATTTTGCAATAATCAGATTGAAGAATGTTCCTTAAGGATTTTAATCTGTACTAAAAATGTAATATGT